GCAGCGAGCTCACCTGGAGTAACCTTCACATTTCCATTTGTGCTTCAGAATCGTTAACGGCTCAAGCCCCTCCGTGACTGAGACCCCTTAGCCCTTCAGACTAATCTTTTGTTTGCTTTTACGTAGCGTGCAATCCAACCATTTAAAACGCACGATTGAATGCCCTTCAGTACACGCACAGATTTGAGCACCATCCATCACCGTAATCCGTTTTAGAACATTTCATTACTCCCAAAGAAACCCCTCCTTTAGCTGTCACCACCCCAATTTCCCATTCCCTGCAGCCCTAGCGAGCGCTAAGCTACTTTGAATCTATAGATTTGCCTATTCTGCACATTTTGCGTAAGTGGAATCATACAATATTCGGTGCTTTGTGACTAGCTTCTTTCACTTAGAGGAATGCTTCAAGGTTCACCCACGTTGTAGCATGTATCAGCAGTTCATCTCTTTAATTATAAAATAATATTCCATTGTATGAAGGTACCATGTTTTATTTATCCATCGGCAAATGTCAGGCCTTTCATCTTTGGTCCTAGGGGTGAGTCCAGAGCCACACACTTATTAGATGCTCTGAATGGCCTTGTATGGGTGACTGACACAGCCTGCTGCAGTTAATCTCTTTCTCTCTCTTTGCACCCCGTTTGTACCTGGTATGTGATTGTCTGTGCTTTTGTTGTGTTGAATTGAGTTGAATTGGATAACAGACAGGATCAGGCACCCCAGAGATTGTGGCAGACCCCAGTGACTCGGGACTGAACTAGTAAAGTACAAGATGGGGAAAGAGACTTAAGACTAGTTCATGGAAAACAAAAAAATAGTTCATGGAAAACGAAAACAGAATAGTTCATGGAAAAAAAGGTGCCTTTGCTGAATGCCAGGGCCACGTGAGGGCGAAAACAGAGGATGGTGTTTGAGTGCATTCCTTGAATTCCCAAGTAGAAGAGGTGACATTGCCGTCTGAGCTCCAGTGTCCGCGGAGCTTGTCAGAACACAAGCAAACTGTGGTTTTAAGGGTGAGATCAATAATGAGGGTGTGTGTGTGTCCAGAGTAGGTTGGAGAAGCATTGGGAGATTATAGCACCTTCAGGAAAGCAACAGAGGGCTGGGGTCATTGACTAATAATGAAAGACTGGACTTGGGGGTAGGTCAGCAGAGACTTGAGCCCCAAAGGGCAGAGCTCAGACTAATAGGTAGAATTTTACAGAGCAGGTTTTGGCTCAGAACCAAAAGGATTTTCTGACGGCTTGGGGTGCCAAGGGTGCGGAGGAGAGATTTCTTTCACACTGGATGGGAGAAGGTGGCTTTCAGCTCTTCGGTATTCTGGTTTTGAAAGACTGCCTACTTTGGACTGTTTTTCTGTTCATTCAGTTAACACCTTTTACTGAGAGCCTACTGTGAGCCAAGCCATGCTACCTTAGGTGTTTTTATGACTTTCTAATTCATGAAAGGCTACAGAATAACTAGAACTCAGTTCTGATTCAGGAGAAAGCTAAATAAACATCACCTGATCTTTTGTTTGATTTAAAAGAAAAAAAAGATGTATTTTTCTTCTCCTTGATGTATGCAGAGCTAACTGAATCAGTGAACTCCACAAACCTCTCCCAGTCTCACTTTGCAGCAGGGTTTGATTCCAGTTTTAGCAATGATGCTGTGAGGTTCATTGCCCCTTAAATAATAGCAAACCCACACTGTAAATTAAATTAAGACATTTTTAGTTTAACTCTTCTGAGTGGACCCACACATGCATTCTCTGCCAGTTATTACTGAGAATGACTAAGAATTATAATTGAGCTGAAAATAATCTCCCGCCCATACTTGCTGGGTTGGTTTCTAAGTATTGCTTGGGTTTTTAAGTAATGAAACGAAGTTGTGCTCTTTCCAAATGCTAATTTTGAAGACTGCAGCTGGTAACCATCTGTTACACCACTAGCATTTTACAATATTTGATTAGCGCTTTATATAGTTTGGGGATGCCTGCCAGTGGAATCTGCCCATCAGCTTGGGGGCTTCAGTGATATGTCCTGTCTGGTGGCACTTGAAGGCCTTTGCTTCCATTGTTCCCCTCAGTTTGTTGGACCAAAGCGTGGCTAGTCAGACTGGTAGGTTGATATTTGGGGCACGAGGACATTGGGGACCCTGTGCTGTTTGCACTGTTCCCTGGAGCTGGAACCGTCACAGCTCATCGTGGAAGTAGAATTTGGGAGATTAAGATTTTTTGATCAGTTCAGACTCTTTTGGCTGCAAGTGACAAAACAAACCCAAGCTGCTTTTCAAATGGGATTGTCTTGGATCATTGAAAAGTCTAGGGGTGGGGCGGCCTTCAGGTCGACGGTTTTAGGGCTCAAATGAATTCTTCAGACTTGGATTTGCTCAGGTTCTCAGCTCTGCCTTCTGTGGCTTCAGTCTCAGGCTTCAAGAGGAGGCAAGACGGCTTCCCTGAGAGAGGATAAGTCATCTTGGCCTCAGGTCTAGTCACTCCTGCGGAGGTATTGAGACGCACTCAGCTTCCATCATGTGCCCAGCTGTGAACCAGTCCCGCAGGGGTGCAGGTCCTTGATTGGCCAGGCTTGGAGTGGAGCTCCCCCCAGACCCTGTGGGCTGAGACCTGGTGGGGCTGTTATCAGAAGGGTGGATGGGTGGTGGGAGCCGACAGCCACCTGGCAACCCAGTGTCAGAGCGAGAGCCCAGAGTACCAGGAGCAACTGGTATAGTTGGCTGTGGAGACAGATATGTATTGTTGCCAGGAAGATAACATGCTGGAAATGGAATGAAGGAGCCTCTGAAACCAGCTACTTAGAGTTTCTTTTCTTAGTCTGAGGACCTCTGATAGATTTAGAATTCTGGTTCTTCCTTTTGAGGGGGAGGGGTTGTCTTTCTCTTCTCTTTTAAAGTTACTTTAAAACTAAGGCCAGTCACTTAATTTTGGTTTTTTAGCTCCTTCATTTGGAGCATAGTGAGCCTCTCTGTCGTAGAGGGGAAATCTGGACAGAGGAGATAACAGATTCCATTCAGTCCAGTTCAGTAAACAGGGCACGAAGTGCTGGGGCCTGGGCCAGGCTGCACAGGCCTGGCAGCACATGAATCCCGGCAGTGTGGGAAGCACTGTACCAGCTCCATAAACAGGGTACTGCCCCCCCCACCTCCCCAGGGACAGTTGGAAGGGCTTCCCAGAGGAAGTGACATTGAGCTGGACCTGGCAGGATAAACATGAGTCCTCACATAGAGAGGGGAAGGGAGCTCCATGCTCAGGGAGCTGCATGTGCAAAGGCACTGAGAGGTGACTTGCAGTTTTGGGGGATTGGGAGAAGGTCCTTGTCGCTGACTGTGGGATGAGCCCAGGCTTCAGTGTGGAGGAGACTGAGAAGTGACAGGCTGGAGACAGGGACACCAAGCAAGATGCTGTGGCAGAGGTCCAGGCAGGAGCCTGTAGGGCAGTGAGCATAGAGGGGAGAAGAGGCATGGGCTGGGAGGTACTTAATGGAAACTTAACAGATCCTTATGTTCTAGATTTAGACTCTACCATTGGAAAAAAATATCTATGCTCCTAATTGAGTTTCCTGCTTCAAAAAGAGGCCAGGTTAGAGTTGTGGGTTCTTTGGAGAGAACCATTATAATACAGAGCTTAAAAATATGGGTTCTGCAGACACAAAGGAGTACATGACATATGATTCCTTTTATGTAAAACTTGGGAAAATGCAGATGAATCTGTAGTGACAGAAAGCAGAGGTTGCTTTGGGATGGGGGCGTGGTGAGGGCAGGAGGGAGGGATTATAAAGAGGCAGAGGAAACTCGTGTGGGTGATGGAGGTGCTCACTCTCTTGCTCGCGATGATGGTTTTTTAGGTGTGTACATATGTCAAAACTTATCAAATTATGCTTTAAATATGTTGACTGTATGTTAACTGCATCTCAATAAAGCTTTAAAAAATTTAAAAAATATATAAAAGGTGCGCTCTGAGCCTGTCTGGGTTCAAACCCCAGCTCTGTCTTTATCAGCTGTGTGACCTTGGGCAAGTTGTCAGACCTTCTGTGCTGATTTCTTTTTAATGAGTGCATTAATCATACGTAAAGTGAATAGGACAGAACAAGAGCTCATTATTATTTAATTAATTAATTAACTTAATTTTTAAAATTAATCTTAGCCCCAGGATATGTTTATTGATTTTAGAGAGAGAGGAAGGGAGAGAGAGAGAGACATTGATGTGAGAGAGAAACATCAATCGATTGCTTCCCATTCATGCCCCAACTGGGGATCAAAACCACAACCTAGGTATGTGCCCTGACCAGGCATTGAACCCGTCACCTTTTGGTACATGGGACAATGCTCTCACCAACTGAGCCACCCAGCCAGGCCAAGGGCTCATTCTTATCCCTATTTCTAACACACAGTAAAGTAAAATCATGTGTACCACGACAACTCTGCCTGCAGCTGCTGCTTCACATGGAGCCCTCTGGAATTGTGTTTCTCAAACTTGAATGTGCACGTGAATCTCCTGGGCCTCTTGTTACAATGCAGGTTCTGTCTCATAGGCCTGGGGTGGGGCCTGAGACTCTGAATTTCTAACAAGCTCTCAGATTATGTCGATGCTACTGGCCACATTTTGAGTAGTAAGGCTCAGATCTTTCATCCTGCCCTCCATTGCTTGTGGTTAGATGGTTTCTCAGCAACTGTAATGCGGGGTTTTCCTGCTTGTCTCCCCCACTCTGCCTGTCAGTGGCACTTCCTTACCCACCACCTGTGGTTGGTGTCCAGAAAGAAGCTGCCAGGATGAGGCTGAACATCTCACTTTTGTTCCTTGCTGGCCTGCTCTGGGCTGAGATTTCTGCAAGACTGAATGCCAGCCATAGCTCAGGGCCTGGGTTCTGAGGGGTGTGGTAGGAGGGGGACCTGGCCTCTGTGCTGTTATCAAGCCTACTTCACAGAGCACTGGAACCTGGGAGCCGGGGCCGAGTATTGCCTGATGCCTTAGACGTGATGCTCTGTGTCTTCCAGGGACAGGCAGCCTTGCAGATGGCCCCCCTTCCCGGGGCAGAGCTGGTCCAGAGGCCTCTGCAGCTCTACCGATACCTGCTGCGCTGTTGCCGACAGCTGCCCACCAAGGGCATGCAGGAGCATTACAAACATGCTATCAGGCAGGTGGGAGCAGGGTATACTGGGTCTGGGGTTAAGGGGGGGTGGGCTTCCTCTGATAGGGGGCCTATCACTGGGTCGGGAACCAGGGGAAGGGGCAGGGATTGGTCTTTCAGGTGGTGTGGGGGGTGGCAGTTTGGTAAGAGCCATCAGAAATCAGTGCTGGGCAGCCCAGCTCTTCCTCTGGTTTTTGTTGAGGAAACAGAGGATGGATGTACCATCCAGCCACCAACTCTGTGCCAGGCCTTGAATTAGGCAGTTGAGTGGATAATTAAAATAGTGGGGGACACATCATCATTTTGACAGGTGTCCCTGTTAACAAAGCACACCTGACTTTAACCATGAGAAAACATCAGGTAAACCCAAACTGAGGCACTGTCTACCACATAACTGGGCTGTTCTTGTCAAACATGTCAGTGTCGTGAAATACAGAGAAAGGCACAAGAGCTGCTCTGGTTTAAAGGAGACTAAAGTGCTGTGACCGCTAAATGTAATGCATGATCCCAGGTGGGATCCTGGACCACATAAAACAATTATTATAAAGTACATTGGTGGGGAAATTCATGAAATTGGAATATGGACTATGAATTAGTTGGATACAGTAGTACTGTGGTTATTAAGTGAGTGCCCTGTTGTTAGGAAATACACACCCAAGTGTTTAGGGGTTAAGGGCTTGCTGCAACTCTTAAGTGTTTCCAAAAGTTTTATGCAAACACATAAAGAGAGAATGGTAAGACAGACGTGGCAAAATATTAACAGTTGGTTATTCCAAAGGCAATTCTTTTGTATTATTCTTGCAGTTTTTCTATAGGTTAGAAATTATTTCCAAATAAAAAGTTAAAAACCAAAATTAATACAAACATAATGTGGAAAGTAAAAAGATAGAGGAAGCAGAGGGCTGCGGAAACATGGAGAAGGAAGCAGTTAGTTATCTGAGGAAGTCAGGGATGGCTTCCTGGAGGTGAGCACTTAAGGTGCTCCTGAAGACAAGGAGGACATGTCGGGTCGAGACTAACAGGGCAGAGGAGGTACCAGTACTTTGAAGGGCCCTGAGTGCCCTGAATGAACCTGAATCTCATGTTGCTTCTCAAATGTGAACATCTGGTCAAAAGCAAACAGCAGCCTGGGCTCTGCACTGGGCCCAGCTGGATTTCCCAAACTACCCTCTCATGCCCCTTCCTCCTCTGCTTGGCTTTCCCTAGTGAAAGCAGCTTCCTGGGAGGAGCAAATGAAACAGAGATGGAAATTTCCCTTAGACCCTCTGCAGCCACCACCCCCATAACCTTTGGTCCAGCTTGATTTGAAGGTAATTTGGGGACCAGCGTTTCATTTCACAACGGCCCTGCTGGCAGGAGTATGTGCTGTGCAGTTGAATAGACCAGGATTCAAATGCTGGCACCATTGCTTAGCAGCAGGTTAAGGCTTCTGAGCCTCTGTTTCCTCATCTCTATGTGGGATCATAACTTTCTATGGAGAGTAAGAGAGATGCAGAGTGTAAACTACCCACAGTCTACCTGGCCCGGGACTGGTGTTCTGAAGCTGCCGGTCCTGTGAGTTTTGCCATCATTTTTTTTATGCTTAAACTTTCAGAGTTTCCGGGTTCATTCAGATGAAGACAATCCTGAGAGAATCCAGCAGATTATTAAAAGAGCCATTGAAGACGCCGACTGGATTATGAACAAAGTAAGTGCTTGGCTCCCACCTACACCTGTGAGCTGTAATCCCTGTGACCAGCAGGGGTCGCCTCTGCTCAACAATTGAAAATAATCTAGCTGCTCCCCACCTCTAGTAGCCAAAAGGTGATGACTGATGCCCTTCTGATTGCATTAGTGTGTGTGTGTGGGGGGTGGGGGGGTGGCAAAGGGGAAACCCTCAATTCCTAAAGGCAAATTTTTGCCTAACAGTATTGACTAACTGAGATGGGGCAGCAGGGAAGAAGAAAAAGACTGGTCTTATTGGAAGCAATAGTGACAAAGCTGGCAGCAGTCTTGTGATGTCTCAGAAGAGAGCTGTCTTGGGGGTGGGTGGGTAGTGAGCTCCCTGTCTTTGTAGGTATTCACACTGAGACAGGGTTATTGAGGAAACATTCAAGTGTCAGTTTTGGTGGAGAAAGGGAGGGAGTCAGGGATATAGAGTAGCTTGCTGGTCCTTACACTTTGGTGTTAGAAAACCTGGAGAGCTAGAACATGCCCCACTTCCCTGTCCTTCTAAGTCAGAATCTCCAGATGGTGGGTCCAGGATTCATTTTTTAAAACTCAGTATTGGACTAGGTGGCTTCTGAGGTTCCTCCTCTACCTGAGGTATTTTCCCTCTCCAAACGAGACTCACCTTAAAGAGAATGATGGGCATGCCGCTGTGTTTAATTCTAGTTCCCCAGTGTCTTACCCTTCCTCCCAACCCTGTCAACTGCCTTTTCCAGTAAAGAAGGAAGGAGCGACCCAGGCACCAACTAGAAGTTCAGCTCTCTGGGTTCCACCACCTTCAAGAAGCTGCTGCGGGAGGGGAGGAGGTGTGAGGCCTAGATGACCACAGTTCTCAGCATTTCTGGGCGCCCATTGGTTTCCCTCACCCACTTCTAACGATCTCTCTGTTTCTCAGTATAAAAAACAAAACTGAGACCCAAAGAGTGAAGCTGCCTTGAAGACGCTGAAGTTGAGAGACCTCCCTGGAACTGATCAGCAGCAGGAGTTCTGAACTATCCATTGTCCTGATGGTGGAGAGAGCAGAGATTCAGGGGTAGGAGAAGCTGACATTTGCTCAGACGGCTCTTCTCGGCATGTTCGTGTCCCCAGTGACCTTTATGTTTGCTTTTCCAGCTGGTTATATGTGAGATTTGGAGAGAATGTGTTTTTTCACTTTGCTCTGAAAGTTATTCACTTATTCTGGATGCCATTCTTTGAGACCTGGAGTGGGCATCCCCTCGGACGGTGGCCTGTACGGAGGACAGGGCATGGGTTTTAGAAACAGACAGATCTGGATTTGAATCCCACCCAGGTCAGCAGCTTTTCAAGGGTGTTGACTTTGAGCTTGGTTTCCTCCCTTGTGAGGATTAAAAAAGATGAAGTTAAAGAGCCTAACACAGGACACGGTATGCTGTGATGCCAGTAAACGTCCTTCTGAAGAAGCCGTCCTTGCTCCCTCCTCTGCTCCCGCAGCCTCCACGCATCTCTCTCTAACCCATTCCGCCTGGGGTTGGTTGGTTTGTGGACTTGTCCTGTTCCTACTTGTCACCCGCCCCCCATCCTTTCTCGGACCCCTAAGCCCTCACAGTCACACTGTGCCCAGCAGTCTGCCAAGCGCCCATGCTCCGGACACTGTCCCTCCCTGCCCAGGAGCAGACGCCCTGGTCTTTGCCTTCATGGATCTTAACCTTCATGGAGTTTGCGGAGACTGGAGGGGTGACGTGCAGCCTGCATGAAACAAGGAGGAAGGCCAGAGCAGCTACAGTAGCACCCACGTGTTCAGGCTTCTTTGAACCTGAGATCTCTTCCCTCCTTCACCACCGTCTCGGAAGGAAGGGCGGGAGGAAGTCAGCAAGCAGTCGTGTGGGTTTTCATGAGCTTGAAGTCGGTGGAGAAAGACAGACCTGGGTTGCACTCCAGTTCCACTCAAGTTGTGCGTGGGTAACTTACCTTGCCTCTTTCAGCCTCGGTTTCCCCATCTGTCCAAAGGAGTGATGACCGTACCTACCTCAAGGGCCATGGTGAGGAATAATGAGATCTAATGTATGCCAAGTTCTTACCCAGAGCCTGGTATGGGGAGCTGGCTGCACTGCTGGTCGTTACCAGCTACAATTATTAGGAAGCCCTGCTTTGCGAGTGGGAGGTGGAAGGAAGCTCGGAGAGGCTGAGTCCCTTTTCAGGGTCACAAAGCTGTTAAGCCAGGTCTGTCTGAATCTACCAAACAGCACAGATTTGGGAGGGAAAGGAGAACAGCAGGGAAAGAAGGGAGAACGTGTGTGAGGGAGGAGGGATAAGCAAGGAGGGAGAGCAGCAGGGAAGGATTGGGGGAACTGGCCAGAGCAGGTGGAGCAACCAGAAGACACAGAGAGAAGCCACACTGAGACTTGAGTACCCTAGGGACTCTGAGCCGGAGGGGTGAGCTGGCATGTGTTTGTGTCCTAGTGGTTATAGGATTTATTGTGCACTAGACTAATCAGCAGATAATGAAGGAAATACATCAATTTGTGAAAGTGTGGTGTCTTCTTGCCATGTATTTCTTGCCATGTATTGTGCCTTACTGTGCGCTAACTCTCATACTAGGTGTCGAGGACTTAGAGAAGGCAGTCAGAAAGCTGCCCGGAAGGGGATCATTCTTCAGAGGGATGACCAGACTCTGGTCCCACTGCTGGACAACAGTTGATGAGGTCAGGTTTGCCCCACCAGGGTGAGGGCAAGCCCCACAGCTGAACCAGCTCCCTCCCCTCCCCTGTTGCTCAGCCCTGTGAAGTTAGGGGTGCACCCTTGGCCGACAGGAGTGGGGTTGGTTGTATCCCTGGCCTCTCACATAGTGAGAGGTGTGAGCAAAGGCTGGCCAGGGTCTGGGAGAAAGTGAGTGTCCCTTGCCTGTGACTGACTCCTGGGGGTGATCCCATGACCTTCCATTCACTGGCAGTGCTGATCCAGTTGCGCTGACTCACCCAGGGGGCAGAAGTGGGCACCCAGCTCCAGCTCCTGTGAGGGGCTGGTCCGTGAGGGCACTGGTAGGGGGATGGGTTGGTTAACAGCGTTTTGGCAGCTCTCCACCAGCCCCAGTGTTGCCAGAGGGGATAGTGAGCATGGTCATCTGAGGGCTTGCACTCAGGGCAGAGAGGTGGTTGGAGTCAAGAAGGGGAAGCACTGCGTAAAGCATGGGGGAGCCTCTTTCATCCTCAGCAGCCTTCCTGTGCTCCGTTCTCAGACTTCACCCTCCAAACCCTGCATCTGTGTGGATGGGTGGTTAGGCCTTAAGTCACCCAGGGTCGTGGCTCTTAAATGCATATAGTTGAAGGCTTACAGAATCGCCTCCAGGCCAACAGAAGGGGATGATGGCTTGTTCACCCACAGTCATCTGAGTTTAGATCCCAGCCCTGTCACTTAGTAGTGGTGTGACTTTGGGTGAGTTCCTTAACCTGTCATCTGCACTTTCCTTACCTGCAGCCAGATACGTGCACCACGGGGTGCTGAGACTAAGGCAGTGAGCACAGACAGGCACCCAGGTGACCGACCTCCTGCCCCCTGTCATTGGTTTACCTGCTCATGAGCCCTCTCCTTAGCTGGGCCTCTCGCTCCCTAGTGTCCACTGTCCAACCACAGTGCCAGCAGAAAAGCATCTGATATCTGTTGTTTACACCTTAGCTGATGTTTTCTCATGCCTTACTGTAAGCATGTTCATGATAAAAGGTCTGTTGTGCAATGAAAGACGGCTGCTATCAAAGGGCATCAGGCCTCCTTGGGAGAACTGTCACATCTGGAGGCTGATTCCTGGGGCAATGTCATCTTGAGTCCTGTGGCCACCAGTTGCTCCCTGGGTCAGAGCCTGCCCTGCCCTGCACGGGCTCTTTTCCTTCCTCTGTGCCCACTCCCATCTTAATTGAGTACTTGGTCTCTGCATAGCCCTGTGCTAGGCAGGAAGGAACTCACCGTCCAAGGGACAGACAGATGTGGGTATCTCGAAGGCTAAGCAAATGTGGCTTGTAGAATGTTATCCTAATGCAGATTTTCCCCCTCCCATTATTTCTTTGTATTTTTTCCCCCTGGAGGTTTTTATTCTTCCCCTGTCCCTGGGTGAAAACTAGCATAGGCCTCAAAAATTTCGGCCCCACTGATCCCTTATGTGAAGGAAGCGGCAGGAGTTACCTTCTCCATTGTATAGTGAGGGAAACTGAGGCACAAAGAGGCTTGAGATGGGGCAGTATGTGGCAAACCCAGGAAGAGCATCCCTGTGCTGTTTCCAAGTTCATCATCTCATCACCAGAAAACCAGGAAGATTCTCGGGGAGGTGGGTGGGTGGTGGGGAAGATTCACTCAGCACCTGTTACGTTCACAGTGTCAACCGCTTTCTGCGCGATAGTTCATGTGATTGAATCTTCACAAAGCCCTGTTTTATGATTCTTATTGATGAAAATGAAACTCAGAGAGGCTAAACAAGTTGCCCAGAGTCACACAGTAGCAGGTGTGGGATTCAAACCCTGTCTAGCTCCAAAGCCCACGTTTTTCCTCCCACACCACTACCCGTTTTCAGGGCTCTCACCGCGAGTGCCTGTGGCTGCGTTAGGCTCTACACGTAATTGTTTAGATTTAGGTTCTGGCCTCAGGTCTTTCAATTTAAGATGAAAACCACTTCTTTCTAAGCCTCTAACTTGCTTTATTGAGTATATGATTCTGAGTTTTTCATTATCCAGTTGCCATTGTAATTAATGTATCCCCACATAACCCTTGCTGACAGGAATCTGGCTGCATTGTGGGCCAAAACGCGTCCCCTGCAACTTAACAATGACCCTTCGAGGCCTCCTATCCCAGGCTCCCTCTCCCTCCTACTCTCTCCAGCTGCATCATGTTACTGCCCAAGCAGATCCAGTGCTTTGTGCCCCAGTCCCAGCCTTTGTTTGTGCTGTTCCCTTGCCCATATGCCCTCCCCTCGGTCCATCTGCCAAACTCCTCACCCCTCTCTCAAGACTCTCTCACGTCTCCTTTGTAAAGCCTTTTTTGACCTCTATCCACAAGTAACACTGATCTCTTCCTAAGAATTCTACCATCTCTAGAACTTATTCAATATCCATCCTTTCTGCACATACTTAGTGGGCACTCGATATGGAGCTAGGTGCTTGGTATATATCTCAGATTCTGGCAGCGACCATGTGAGGAGGTGTCATTGTTTCCATTTACTGATGAGGACATGGCTCAGAGAAGTGAAGCACTGACTGACTGATCCAGGCTCTCACAGACAGTTAATGGTAGAGCCAGGATTGATGTGGGTCTTGGTGATCCCAACACTGAGTAAAGTTTTGCTGGATTGAAGTGGATTACTCAGGGAGGTGGCGGCTGTGCATTCTCAGTAGCCCTCTCATAGACGGGGCTTGGAGTAGCAGTCTGGTGGGAGGGGAGCAGCTGGGAGATGGTCTGGAGCTGCATTTGGGCAGCAGTCATACTGCTTTTGATGGACTGCATGTTTATATAAGGTGGCTTTAGGGCGGCTTGATGGAGATGATGGGGGGTAAAACCCCTCACACACCACTGTGGATGGAGTCAAGGAAATGGTGGGGTTAGAGGGCTGGACCAGGAAAGCAGAAGACAGAATTGCAGTTGTAGGATGTCCTGTGTCCATATCAGGATGACCAGTCACCCAACTTCGTCATTCCTGAGTCAGACCAAAGGGGACGTTTCATAGTGAGCGGAGGAGGCTGTCCATTCCCCAGAGGAATCTCCAATCTAAACGGATGTGAGAAAAGAACTTTTGTGGCTACTACTGATAAACCATTAAAAAAGCTCTCATTAAACAGCATTTCCATGCCCTTGAGAAGGGAGACTCAGTTTTTCTTTTTTTCTAAAAACAGGAAAGAAAAAATGAATGGGGAAGAGTAAGAAACAATTGCTGTTATTAATAACAATAAAATTATGACATTCGAATGTAAAATGTTCAACTTTTTCAAGAGCTATCATATATCATTATCTCATTTAGTTCTCACTTCCATTAAATGAAATGTCAGGACAGCCTGTCACCCCTAATCTACAGAAAAGAAAAGAAAGGTCTCAGTGATGGAAACTACTAGGAATGATCAGGGTCCGATGGATTTTGTGCAGCAAGGCCTCTAGTGCTCATTATCAAAATCAGAAGTTACTTAATGAGCTGTTGAGGGCAGAGAGAGGGATTGGGTAGGTCCCTGTGGATGGGAAGTGACTTGCACACCTTGGATCCTGGAAGACAGAAGCCAGTGAGCTGTTGTTCCCTATTCTTTCCTTGTTGGGCGTTTCAGATGTTTGGGTTGACAAAGGCACTGTCAATAGTCCTCAAATTAGATCAGCAATAGTGCCAGCAAGATCTTTGTGCACGGGGAAAAGTTCAGCACCCTCTGGGCTGGCCAATCAGAGATGTCAGCTTGCTTGTTGACATTAGATCCCTGATATCTGTGACCCTCATCTCCTTTTAGCCTTAATCAATGTCTTCTTTCAGGGTAACAACAGTTGTAGACGCTGTTGCACAAAGAAGCATTGATTCTATTATCTGTTTTCTCTATTTTTTCATCCTTTTATCATTGATTGGATTCTAGGTTATGGTATTGAGTAGGTCCTGGCAAATATAGTAAATAAATAATAGCACATTAAGCTTTAAGGTCATCTTTTTTTATTCAGATATAATAGATATATAAATTATATTATTTTTAGGTATACAACATATTAATGTGATATTTGTCTATATTGTGAAATGACCACCACAGTTATTCTAATTATCATCCATCACCTCACATAGTACAATGCTTTTCTTGTGAAAACTTTTAGAATCTACTCTCTCAGCAGCTTTCAAATATACAATACACGAGTACTAACATAGTCACGATTTGGTGGTATTATTAGTCACCATTGCATCCCCATGACTTATTTATTTTATAGTGGGAAGTTTGGCCTGGCCAGACGTGGCTCAGTGGTTGAGCGTCGACCTAGGATCCAGGAGATCATGGTTCGATTCCTGGGCAGGGCACATGCCCGGATTTCAGGCTCGATCCCCAATGGGGGGCGTGCAGGAGGCAGCTGATCAATGACTCTCTCATCATTGATGTTTCTATCTCTCTCTCCCTCTCCCTTCCTCTCTCTAAAATCAATAAAGATATATTTAAAAATAAATAAATAAATAAAAACATAGTGGGAAGTTTGTACCATTTGACCCCCTTCACCCACTTTGTCCACCCCCCACCCCTGGCCTCTGACAACTACCAATCTGTTCTATGAGTTTGGTTTTGTTTCTTTGCTCTTTCAGATTCCCCATGGAAATGAGATATTACAGTAGGTCATCATTTTCATTGGCATCAATTAATTTTCATTTTCCAAGCCATGTTGATTTAATTCGATGCAATTCGGCGTGTTTCTGAGCTCCTACTCCAAGCATCATGTTAGGCACTGAGGATATAACAGCTCATCTTTAAATATGGCTCATATTCTATAGTCTAGTGGGAAGACAGACATTAAAGAAGTAATTATATGCCCACTTAGAATAATTACCGAAGGGTACTATAGGAAAGTGTAACAGGAAGACCCAACCTAATCCTGATGGGTCAGATGGGGAATGGACATAGGGAAGACCTCTGGGTGAAGTGAGATGCCAGCCAAGAATTGAAAGATGGGGTTTTTTTGGGGTGGGGTGGGGATGGGGGTGAGGATAGGAAACAAAAAACATTTCAATGGAGAATACAGAAGGGCAAAGGTCTCGAGAGTTGACACTTTCACAGGCTTACAGGAAGTCCAAGTGTTTAGGAGCACAAGGAACAGTCGTAGGAGATGACTCAGGAGAGCCCAGCTGGAGCTATGCTGTGGGGCTGGGACCTTATACGGGTATTGGGAAGCCTGGATTAAGTGTTTGGAAGGTGTTATTTAGGCAGATAGTAAATGATGATGATGGGGTAATGATAACAAGAGTAGCAAACATATATATCATGCTTACTATGTGCTAGTCATTAATCTGAATACCTTACAAACATTAATTAACTTATATAAAGACCCTTTATAATCCACTTCTATTTTCTGGTACCAAGAGGCAAGACCAAGCCAAAGCCTATAAGGGAGAGCCAAGAGTCAGCTGCTGGGAAGACCAGAGGATAGAGGCAAACCCTGTGGGGTAGCCTGGAGGCAAGTTCTCAGGGTCTGGCAGAGATGGGCCTGCAGAGGGCAGGCTGGGGATAATCCAAGGGCTCCAGGTGACTGGCAGAGACAGCTTTGGGGTTTCTCAGTTCAACTTCAATGGCAGAAGGTGCATGACGCCCAGAGCCCGGTGTGCCAGGCTGGTCTATCTCCTGCCTTTGGAGTAAACTGCAGGAAATCATGGAGGTGACCCACAGGCACCTGTATAGCATATGGGACGATAGGATGCCACTGCTTGACCAAGACGTGAATAAGTAGGAGTATTTCTGCTATGATCGAAGCTTGAATTTTAACTAGAACCAGTATCAACTGGCTGCTCATCTGTCAATGAACAACAAGGGTAATGTCCACTAGGAGTGGGGTTGGGTTTAGGGACAGGTATTTCTCATACCACATGTTATAGGAAAAGTACCCTGGCCCATAGCCTGAAGAAGTTGGCTTCTAGTGTTAGTTTTGCTACATCTAGCCATGTGAGCTGGTGAAAACCTCTTGCCCTGTCCCAGCCTTGGTTTTCTCATCTATGAAATGGGCTTTATGGAATTGTTATGAGGATAACATGAAATCTTATGTGCGAGAGCATCTTTCAACTGGTAACCCATCACTGTATCTGTGGCTATTGGATGCTGCGCTCCAAACCAACATAAAATTGGTATGTCTCAAAATGCCAACTTCATAATTTGGTGTAATTTGGGAAATGGAGTTGGCAGATATCCATGTGTGCTTTCAGGGCATTCTCTTCCCAGAATGCAGATGAGGGTCAGATGGTTGCATGTGGCAGACTCTCAGCAGAGTGGACAGTTGTCAGTCATGTGGTTGATGTGGCAGGCTCCCAGCAGAGGGGGCAGCTGTCACAGTTGCTGCTTCTGCTTCCCAGTGCCCTTTCCCTCTCCCTGATAATAACATGCCCACCTGACTTTGCAGGGACCAGCTATCTTCTACCCAGATGACTAAGGTTATGACTGAGTCCCAGACTATGGAGAATTCCAAGAGGGGTAGATTCATATGGGCTGGAGCAGTCAGAGAAAGCTTTAAGCAGACTCAGGAACTTGAGCTAGATCTTGAAGAGGAAATAGAATGGGGACAGTCAGGGGAGGGAAAGGCATTTCAGGTGGCGGGATCAGCAAGACCAAAGGCTCACTTAAGTACATGTGGAGCTGCAATGAGATAGACTAGATGGCAGGGTGTTTGCAGGAGATGGTGAGAAATAAATCAGCCACAATCTACTGAATCTGGATTATATGCATGGCTTTTGCAAACCTGTTTTCTCTTCGTTACTCATTTTATGATCCAACATCCATCTTTTTGTTTTCCTATCCTCACTGGAGGATATTTTTTTCATTGCTTTTCAGAGAAAGTGGAAGGCGGGGGGAGAAACATTGATGTGAGAGAGACATATTGATTGGTTGCCTCCTGCATGCACCCCAACCAGGGCTGGGGATCGAGCCTGCAACCAAGGCACAAATCAAACCCAGGACAGTCCACGGGCTGATGCTCTAACCACTGAGAAAACCAGCCAGGGCTCCATCATTCATTGTCAAAGAGTTCTTTCTTATGTCTAACCCAAGGCCACACTGCTAACATAAAGTCATTTCCCCCAGTTTTGTCTTCAGAAAAGGCAAAGGACACAGTTTATGGAAAGTCTCAGCATGGGAAATACAGCTGATCCTGCCTGCAGGGAGGGGCTCTGGCTGCTCTGGGGCTTCTGTCTTCCTGACTCAGTAAAAGGACTTGAGATTCTCCTGTTCAGCTCATATGGATGAACCCATGGTGAGAAGGAAAGGAAAAAGGAAGAATTCATCTCCTTTGTCTTTAGAATAAACAAGCATATTTTATAGATGCTAAATAGCATATTCAAATGCCAAATTGAAAAGAAAAATGGCACAGGTTCTTAAAAAGCTAAATGTTTATTTCTGACTTAAAAAGTGATCGAGCTCTGGCATCAGAGAGACCTGGGCTCATATCCCAACCTGAGCACTTGCTAGTTGTGAGAACTTAGGCAGGTTACTGTACTTTTCTGAGCTTCAGTTTCCTTATCTGTAAAATGGATAGGTGCGGGGATGGGGGAGGAAGTAATCCTTTCTTCGTAGGATTGTTTAGAAATGATCATATTATAGCACAGAGACTGCAAGTTGAAGATCTCCACTCCTCACCTTGTTCTCATTCCTTTCTGTTGCCCCTTTCAGTTATTTGTCCCCTCCCAGACCCGCTTGCCTGTCCAAGCCTTAGGCCTGCCAGAGGGGACTCCAGGACAGAGCTCACAGCTGCGTTCCTTCCTTAGCACCTGGAGCCTACCTGCCTCCCCCAGCCAGAGAAACAGGGAACTCCTTCTGGAGGTGAGCCCATTGGTCTCTCTTTCATCCCCCTTATTAAGCTAGGGTGATGACATCGGGTGGCTTGAGACCTGTACCTGTGCCATCAGCCACCCTTCCCGCTGGAATTCAGTCAGAACTCGCTGACCAAACTCTCCGGTTGTTGTAGTTGGGGAGCTCAAGACATTCTGGCCTTACCCGCTAGTGCATGTACCTTGGGAGGCTTATTTTTATACAGGGAAGCACTGGATATCAGACTTTTTAATAAGAATGTGGAGGGATGTGGCGAAGTGATTGCAACTTAGGGGCCAGTTACCACTTCAGAGGTCAACAGTGCAGCCTT